CTGAGAAAAAAACTCTCCATGAGGTTACAACATTGGTTGGTTGGCTTGTTGTTTAACGCCGCACTCAGCAATATTCACGCTATATGGCTGTCTGTAAATAAACGAGTATGGACCAAGCAATCCAATCATCAACAGCATGAAGATCGAACTACGCAATTGGAATACGATGATATGTGTCAACCAAGTCAGAGAGCCTGACCACCCGATCCCGTTAGTTGCCTCTTACGTCAAGCACGGGTTGCTGAAGATCAATTCCTACCCGGATCTTCACGGGTATAAGATTACATAGTTACACTGATTGTCTAGTCTCTCCTGATCACCTCAGCCAGGAAGACTTCACACGAAGAGAAAGGATAGTGTTTTCACAAACACCATCGAGACCCTAAAATGTTAACTTGACCATTTCAGCCCCCCTAACGTTGAAAGGCCTATGACCTCGTTTAACATGGCCACTGTGGAGATACTGACATATAATGTATTTCGTTTTACAACGTTTACATGTGTTATGATAGTATTCACAATGCGGACTAACCATATTAGTATTGGCATAATCTGTATTAAGCTACAACTATAGACCTTCACATTGTACGAAAAGTGGGGTAGCCTAGTGGTTAAAGCGTTCACTCGTCGCGCAGAAGACCCGGTTCGGATTCCCGAGGTACAATGCGTGAAGCCAATTTCTGGTGTCCACCGCCGTACAATGCGTAAAACCCAACTCATTAATTTAAACTCATTGTCCATTCACCGTTATGTTTCGCTAAACTCATTCACTAAAACATTCACTAAACTCATTCACTCATTCACTAAACTCATTCACTAAACTCATTCACTAAACTTATTCTATTCACTCACATTCACTAAACTCATTCACTAAACTTATTCATTCACTAAACTCATTCATTAAACACATTCACTAAACTCATTCATTCACTAAACTCACTCACTCACTTCACATTGTCCCACATCCTGTAATAAGTTGTGATTTTCTGTATTATCCTGAATTTACTGCAGTTTACACCGAAACCTCTAAGTCTATTTATCTGGTAGTTGTGATGCTTATCCTAACGTACACGTTGATATCTCCGTAAACAAATAATCACAAACTGCTGAGAATGTTTCATCTTTTCCATGGTTTCAAGCACCTGATAATATCGTTCACTGAACATTGATCCCGCTTTCAAAGAAACAGAATTTTACGTCTTCAAGCAGAATTTTAGTGTCTTCAAGCTGTGACTGAAAAAATTTTTAGTCAAAACGCCCAATCATGTACAAACCAAAAAATAAATGACACTTGTTGGTATGCCTGGCGCTCAGCATTAATGGGTACAACAAAGGACTGGTCGGCTCGGAGTCAGTATATAATGTGTCTGAGTGGGGTATTCATGCTTAACTGCGGCATTGTATCTCAGTGGGCTAGCACTATAAACCAGCTTAAGTCTGGCCTAGTATATGAGCCACACGCACAATGCACGTCGTCATATGAGCGAAATATTCTCAACTACAACGTTAAACCCCATTTCACCTCACCTCACCTCACCAAGTTACGTGCAACCCGATCAGCGACGGACGACATAGTTTCGCTGATCATGCTTTAACCTGCCATAGCAACTAAAGGGAATGTGACTGTACTTGTCAAAGGAACAGTGTCACATGCAACTAGCTGATCAATACTATAGATTAGGTGATATAATTTCGTTCGGTTGACGGTATCGTTCAAATCACAGCGCAACACATAGAGTGGGTTCCTTGTCGTTGTGAGGAGTTGATGGATTAAAGAAGAGGAGATTGGTGGCTTAAAGAAGAGGAGATTGATGGATTAAAGAAGGGGAGGTTTGATTAAAGAACAGGAGACTGACATTCATGAAGTGGATGTTCAACTGCGACTGCCATGCCGTTACTGGTCGCGCCCCAGAATACCAGTGAGTATATTCAGATAGTAGAATAGTTCCTGTGTTCATTATCCAGAAACCAACATTGTTACGACAGTGAGTAAATTCTGATAGTTGAATAGTTCCTGTGCTCATTATCTAGAAACCAACATTGTTACGACAGTGAGTAAATTCTGATAGTTGAATAGTTCCTGTGCTCATTATCAGAAAGTCCAAAAACACACACGTGTTCCACCTTCCACTGTGATCCACTTTGCACTCAAGGCGCAAGGTTGTGTTCCACATTCCGCATTCCACTCAAGGACCATGGGATGGTACCACATTGAACACAAGGTCCATTGGTGTGTTCCACTTTGCACTAAAGATCAGAAAGTCCTAAAACACACACGTGTTCCACTTTCCACTGTGATCCACATTCCACTCGAGGCCCATAGGTGTGTTCCACATACCCCTCAAGGCCCGTAAACCCACTGCTTATCGTTAAGGTCTACTGTTCACTATAGGCCCATTAACTCACGACCCATTGGTAAGGTCCACTTTACACTCATGGCCCATGAACCCACTGCTTATCGTTAAGGTCTACTGTTCACTATAGGCCCACTAACCAACGACCCATTGGTCAGGTCAACTTTCCACTCATGGCCCATGAACCCACTGCTTATCGTTAAGGTCTACTGTTCACTATAGGCCCACTAACTCACGACCCATTGGTCAGGTCCACTTTACACTCATGGCCCATGAACCCACTGCTTATCGTTAAATTCTAGTGTTCACTATAGGCCCACTAACCCACGACCCATTGGTCAGGTCCACTTTCCACTCATGGCCCATGAACCCACTGCTTATCGTTAAATTCTAGTGTTCACTATAGGCCCACTAACCCACGACCCATTGGTCAGGTCCACTTTCCACTCAAGGCCCATGAATCCATGGCTTATCAGTGTGTTCCACCTTTCCCTACAGGCCCACGAACCCACAACCCTTCTGTGTGTTGCACTTTCGACTCAAGGCCCGCGACCCCACGACCCAGTTGTGTGCTCCACATTCCACTCAAGGCCAACTACCCAACGATCCATCTCTGTGTTCCACAATCCATTCAAGGCCCATGGACCCACGACCCACCTGTGTGTTCAACAATCCATCCAAGGCCCACGACCCAGTTGTGTGCTCCACATACTACTCACGGCCCGCGATCCATCTGTGTGTTCCACATTCCACTCAAGGCCCACGACCCAGTTGTGTGTTCGACATTCATTCAAGGCCCACGACCCCACGGCCCATCTGTGTGTTCAACATTCCATTTAAAGCACACGACCCCAAGACCCAGTTGTGTGATCCACATTCTACTGAAAGCCCACCAACCCACAGACCATCTGTGTGTTCCACATTCCACTGAAAGCCCACCAACCCACGACCCAGTTATATGTTCCGCATTCCACTCGAGGCCCAAGAACCCACGGCCCATCTGTGTGTTCAACATTCCACTAAAGGCCCACGAACCTTGTTCCCATCTGTGTTGCACATTACACTCAAGGCCCACGACCCCACGGCCCATCTGTGTGTTCAACATTCCACTAAAGGCCCACGAACCCAGTTCCCATCTGTGTTGCACATTACACTCAAGGCCCACGACCCACAGCCCATTTGTGTGTTCCACATTCCAATCAAGGCCCACGAACCCAGTTCCCCCATCTCAAGGCCCACGGCCCACAGCCCATTTGTTGTGTTCCACATTCCACTCAAGGCCCACGAACCCAGTTCCCATCTGTGTTGCACATTACACTCAAGGCCCACGACCCCACATCTATGCTACAACGTGATGTTTATGTACTATTGCCATGCCATCTCAAGCCATGCTGAGCCCAAGTGTTGCCATGTCAGTGTCGTTGCTATGGATCTACATCCGTGCACAGGTATCAGCCTGCGCTGCAGCATTATGTATAACCAGCCAGCCGTTGATCATCAATTATTCTGACGACAGTTGAAAGAAGGAAAAAGAAACAAACCATTCTTCCTCTAATTGTTTCGCCAGTCACGTATTATACCTACCTTTTACAGACGTTTTATTGAGTTTAGTTTTACGCCGCGTTTTGCAATATTCCAGCAATATCACGGCGGGGGACACCAGAAATGGGCTTCACACATTGTGCCCATGTGGGGAATCGAACCCGGGTCTTCGGCATGACGAGCCAACGCTTTAACCACTAGGCTACCCCACCGCCCCTACAGACGTTTTATTAGTGTAAACCTGTATTTAGATATCTGATGGAAGTTAATAAGCTTATGACGCATTTTTGGTTGACTTTTGGTGGCTTTGTGGGAAAAGCTCTTATTCGTTAAACCCGGGTTCGAATTGATCTTCGGTAATCCATGCTTGTCGTAAGAGGCGACTAACAGGATCGGGTGGTCAGACTCGCTGACTTGGTTGACACATGTCATCGTATCCCACTTGCGTAGAACTATGCTCATGATGTTGATCATGACCGCCACCATATAGCTGGAATATTGCTGAGTGCGGCGTAAAACTATACTCACTCACTGTAATTCGTTACAATGGACACAATAGGTATAATTTCACATATAAGTATCAAAAGTGTAAATGATGCTTGACCTCGCCGTCTGTGTCGTTAAAATAAAGTCTCTTGTGCAACATCTGCGTCAATGATGTTGCATTGTCTACGTCCAGGATACATCATCAACATTAGTAATGAAAAGTAAACGTCATTGGTGTCTCATCAGCGTTAGTACTGGCAGGTTCCAGAACTATTCACTCGTTTCATAAAACTGGTATGGCACAGATGGTCGTATCGTTTTCTATCAGTCTTCCAGGATCGAACCTCCCTCATTGGTTTCACATTGGTTTCACATTGGTTTCATATTGGTATCACATTGGTTTCATATTGGTTTCACATTGGTTTTTTGGTTTCACATTGTTTCATATTGGTATCACATTGGTTTCACTCACATTGGTTTAATATTGGTTTCACATTTGCTTCACATCAGATTGGTTTTACTAAAGTATCACTGTCCTCCTGAAGTATGCATCCCTAGAAATATCCCTCGTATTGACGAAATCAGCACCTTCATATGACGCACAGCCGTTCCAAGATATCTGTTACTAAAACCATGTCTCGTTGTTTCAACCAAAAGATCTACACTGACTATTATCTGCCTGAGAGAGACATCTGGGACATGAAGAAGCGGTTGATTTACTCGGGCAAGGATCGGGTGTGGGGTCTGGATGTGTGGCGTGATTTGCAGGAGCGAAGGCGATGGGCGGTTGGTAAGTCCATCCACGGAAATCGTGGATATATTTGCCTTATGTGATATACTAAAAAGACAAAACCGGTACATGTAAGATGTGATCAACATAGCGTTATACATTTGATAGAAAATAACTCTCAATTGGCTGACTTGAGATGTGTAGTGACGACTTACCTAGCGTTAAACTTTTGTCAGTTAAGGTCACAATTGGTTAAGTTGAGATTCGTTGTGACGACTGACCTAGCACTATACACTTCTTAGAAATAACTCAACTGAGTTGAGATGTGTCGTGACGACCGGCCTAGCGTTATACACTAGTTAGTAAATAACTCAGTTGAGATGTGTTGTGATGACCGACCTAGCATTATACACTAGTTAGTAAATAACTCAACTGAGCTGAGATGTGTTGTGATGACCGACCTAGCATTATATACTAGTTAGTACATAACTCAACTGAGCTGAGATGTGTTGTGATGACCGACCTAGCATTATACACTAGTTTTATAGTAAATAACTCAACTGAGCTGAGATGTGTCGTGACGACCGGCCTAGCGTTATACACTAGTTAGTACATAACTCAACTGAGTTGAGATGTGTTATGATGACCGACCTAGCATTATACACTAGTTAGTACATAACTCAACTGTGTTGAGATGTGTTATGATGACCGACCTAGCGTTACACACTAGATTTATAGTAAATAACTCAACTGAGTTAAGATGTGTCGTGACGACCGACCTAGCATTACACACTTGTTTTATAGTAAATAACCCAACTGAGTTGAGATGTGTTGTGCTGACCGACCTAGCATTATACACTAGTTAGTACATAACTCAACTGAGTTGAGATGTGTTATGACGACCGACCTAGCGTTATACACTAGTTTTATAGTAAATAACTCAACTGAGTTGAGATGTGTTGTGACGACCGTCTTAGCGTTATAGACGAGTTAGTAAATAACTCAACTGAGTTGAGATGTGTCGTGACGACTGACTTAGCATTATACACTAGTTAGTAAATAACTCAACTGAGTTGAGATGTGTCGTGACGACCGACCTAGCGTTATACGCTAGTTAGTGCATAACTCAACTGAGTTGAGATGTGTTATGACGACCGACCTGACGAGTTTGATGGTTTAGCGTCGGCTTCTGGCGGGCGCCAATTTCGCCGACAGGGCAGGTGGGTATTAACATTAAATTATAAATAGCTGGTAATAAGGAGTAAAGCACCTGCCCAAAAACGTAAAATGTAGGGGCCTTAACCTAGAGTAATTTAGAATAGAAACGTTTAGAAATAAGATTAAAAAAATAAAATAAAACCGAAGTTATAAAAGGAAAGAAATGGGAAAAACCGCAGTGATTGTTAATAAATGAGAGATAGAGTTAAACTAAAAATAAGATGTAAATATGGGGCATAATTGGGGTGGGGGTGGGGGTAGGTTGTATAAAATGAGTATATGGCATAATGGGGCATATAAAGTGATGCAGATATGCTGCATGATTTAAATAAGGGGCTTTAAAAGGGAAAGAAATAGGGGTTAAATAGGGGTGGGGGTGGGGAGGCGGTGAGGCAAAGGCCGTGGCTGTGGGTTGAAAGGCTGTGGGTGAGCTGGCTGGGTTGAGAGGCCGTGACCTTGTACTGGAGAGGTTGTACTGGTTTGTTTACAGTTTAGTGGCTACTGATTGGCTGAGAGAGGGCGCGGACGTCGTAGCAGAAATAAGACACTTTGGATAAGTGAAATTGATTCCCAGGTATAATAGGTAGGCTTATGTTGGTAGTAGAGTAATAGTATGGATAAATTAAGTTTTGAAGCCTAGTCTAAATATATAAGCTATTGAGAGGTAGTGTAATGGAGATTTGTTTGGGAGGTTCTAAATTTTATGGATTAGGTTCGAGTTTTGTAGGAAGGTGGCTATGGCGTGGAAGATAGTGGGCGGATTGAGGGGATTAAAAAGTAAATGTATATTATTGTGGTATTTAGATGGTATATTGCTATGTAGTTGTGTGATGTTTGTTTGTTGTAGGTGGCATTGTGTGAATATATGGTTAATGTCTTCTGGTGTGTTGCAGAGGGAGCAGAGTCCATCTGGGTGTCTGTTTTGTTTATAAAGTGTATAATTGAGATTTGTGATGCCTGTGATTAGTCGGTTTATGCAAATGTCAATGTTTTTGATATTGGAGAATGTAGGAAGTTTGCTGATAGGTGTTTTGATGATGTTTATAACCCATGTTGATTTATTAGTATTTATGTTGTGCTGGAAGTTTAATTTGGATATATTTGTTTTAATAAGTTGTTTGAGTTCTGTTTTGGATGTGTGGAAATTGATGCTAGGTGAGTTGTGTGTGGTTGCTAGCTTGGCGGCTGTGTCTGCAGTGATATTTCCTGGAATGTTGGTGTGGCTGGGTATCCATATGAATGTTATGTTTTTGTTTAAGCGTTTGAGTGAGTCTGTTTGTATTATAATATTATGCATTAAGTCAGGGCGTGATTTTGAGTGCATATTTTGTATTTGTGTGTTAAAGCTGAGAGAGTCGGAGACTGACTGACTGACTGACTGACTGACTGAGTTTGGTTTTACGCCGCTTTTAGCAATATTCCAGCAACATCGGGGGACACCAGAAATGGGCTTCACACATTGTACCCATGGGGATTCGAACCAGGGTCTTCGGCATGGCGAGCCAACACTTTAACCACTAGGCTTGGAGAGAGAGTCGGAGAGTATGAGAAAGTTTGTTTGTTGAATTGATGGTATTAGGTGTAGTCCTGAGTGGATTGCAGTTAGTTCGGCGGTGTTAATAGTGGTGTAGTTTGAGTAGTGCAGGTTTGTTGTTAGTGGGGTTTTTTGATCTACATGTATACCTATGCCTGTTTTATTGTTTTTGTTGATGGATGCATCTGTGTAGATGTGGGTGTATGCAGGGTAGTTTGTTTGAATATGGTTGTTTATAATATTTAATTTGGTGTGTATATCAGTGTTGTTTGGCAGGTTTTGTAGTGTGGAGGCTAAAGTGGTGTCTGTGGGTGGTGGGGGTTTGTCGTGGATGTAGCTTGTAATGGGAGGTGTGTGAGGTATGGTGTTTAACTGTTGGGCATGTAGCAGACTGGTGAGGTGGGTAAGGCATGGAGCTATACTTGGTTTTATTTTGAATTTTTTAAGTGTTGATTTTTTGATGTTGTTGTATCTGTTTGTAATTAGTTTGAAGATGGGGTTGTGTTGGGCCCCAGCCCAGTAGGTGAGTGTGGTTTGGTTGATTCTGTGGGTGATTGAAGAGGTGCCTGTAATAAGGAGCAGTGTATTAAGGGAGGTACCACTCCTCGAGCCTGTGGCTAGTTTGAGGGCCTTATATAGGACTGAGTTTAGTTTTTGGAGGTTACAGGGGGATAGGTTGTGGAGAATCGGAGCGGCGTAGTCCATTCTCGACAGTATAAGAGTTTTGTATATGTGGATGAGTGTGTGTTTGTCGGCACCCCAGTTTGTGCCGCTGATGGCTCGCATTAAATTTAAAACTTTTGACATGAGTTGACCAAGTTATGAATGTTGGGTGTCCATGTCATATGGTGGTCGAAGGTTACTCCTAGGAATTTGGCTTCATTTTGAACTCAATTTTTTGATTATTTAAGTGTAGATTGGGTGTATAATTTTGCATTCTTTTAGTTTTGAATAGAATGCCCACGGTTTTTTTTACATTTATATGGAACCCCCATTTTGGGCCCAATTTTGAATGAAATTTAGCATTCTTTGTATTTTAGTAGATGCCTGTTTTACAGAAGTGGATGAAGTCCAAAATGAAATGTCGTCGGCAAATTTGGCAGTTGAGATTTCAGGCCATTTTTCTGGAAATATGTCGTTTATCATAAAGTTGAATAAAGTTGGGGATAGTATACTCCCCTGGGGGGTGCCATTTTCTATGGGGTAGGGATCCGAGATGGTGCTGTGAGATTTGATTGTTATTTGTCTATCGTTTAGGAAAGAGTGAATGAAATTTAGAATTCGACCGTGTATGGCATGTTTTTGAAGTTTTTGTAGGAGGCCGTTATGCCAAACCATGTCGAATGCTTTACTGAAATCTATAAAAATGGCCATTGTGTATTGTTTTTGTGCTTGGGCTACTCTGATGTCTTGTTCCAGATGTAAAATGTGATCTAAAGTTTGTCGATTAGGAGTGAAGCCACTCTGGTCCTCTTTTATAAGATTTTTATTTAAGATTTGGTGTTTTAGCCTATTGTTAATGATAGTTTCAAGAGTTTTGCATAAGTGAGAGGTGAGTGAAATGGGGCGGAAAGAATCTGGATCGTTATTTGGTTTGCCAGGTTTGAGGATTGGTACCACCCTGGCTGTTTTCCATGCAGTAGGTATGTTGCCTGAAGTCCAGATGTGGTTGAAGAGTGTAAGTGTAAGGTTTTGCATGTTTGGTGTGAGTTTGTTTAGTATGGTGTAAGTGATGGCATCTGGACCTGGGGCTGAGGCTGAGGCTGTGTTTTTTGTTTCTTAGTGCAGATTTAAGCTCGTGTATGTTAATGGATTTGTTTATTGGGAGGTCTGTATGGGGGTTGGGGGAGAAGGTGGTGTTATTATATTTTGGAATTGTGGTGGGTAGTTGGTGGAGCTACTAGTGGTCGAGAAATGGGCAGCAATAGCGTTAGCCTTATCTTTGTTTGTAGGGAGGTCTGGGAGGTTAGGTGAAATGTTTTTTTTGGAAATGCCCTTTATGGCTTTAAATTTGTTCCACATTTGTCGAGTGTTAGCTTTGTTTAGCCTAAGGGTTGAATAAAAGTTTCTCCAATGTTGGATTTTGCTGCCTTTAAAAATTGTTTAGTATTATTTCTTAGTTTTTGCCAAATGTTATTTTGAACTGTCCCTTTTTGATTGGTTAAGGGCCTATTTTCTTGCCTTTCTGGCGTTCATGATGTCTGAGCTCCACCAGGGGACTGTTTTAGTGCTGGGTTGGGCCGATTGGTGATGTTTATAATGGCGTTTGTGTAGTTGTTGTTGAATGTGTTTATGTCGTGGTTGTAGATGCTAGTAGTGTCTAGTTGTTTGCAGAGTGTGGTAAATTTATGCCAGTCTGCTTTTTTAGGTTGAATTTGAGTTCAGGAGGTGTGGATTGGATGTTGTTGGTGGTGTTTGTAGGTGTGGGGTGTGTATGTGATGGGATTGTAATTAATTTTGTTGGGGCAGTGGTCACTGCCCCAGGTGTCATTGTGGACCTCCCATATACAAGATTGTGTAAGTTTAGGTGTAGTGAGTGTGATATCTATTGCTGTGGGTGAATGTAGGTGGGAGAGTGGGTATCTTGTAGGTTGGTTGTCGTTTAGTGTGCTTAGGTTGTGTTTGTCTAGCCAGTCGGAAAGTCGAGTCCCATTAATGTCGGTGAAAGGTCTTGTGCCCCACAGTGGATGGTGTAGCCCAGGCCTCCGGGCAGGGCCTGGGATATTTACTGGCCGAGGTTTATCTTTCCGAATGAAAATATAGCCTGGTATTTTGAAGGCATTTTTAGGTGATAATTTGGTTTCTTGCAGAGCGATTATTTGGGGGGAGATTTTATTTTGGGCGATGAGTGCCTTAAGCTCATGCCCGTGTACTCGGAGTCCATTGCAGTTCCACTGTAATATAGCCATGGTTGCAGTAATTTGTAGCAGTAGATTAGTAAAGACCATGGGTTGGGGCATAATTTGTAATAGGTTGTTGCTGGCTAGGGCAGCTTAGTGGTTGGAAAAGGTTTAAGAGAGGTTTTGATAGTGATAAGGAGGCTGGCTAGACCCTTGTGGTAGAGTTTGAGTTTGTGGGCGAGGGTATGTAGTTTTTAGCTGTGGGATCTTTGAGTAGAATGGCTGCAGATATAAATTCTATGAGCTTGTTGAGGTTTTGATTTAATTTTTTGTGGTGTGAGCGTGACGTTGGGTTTGTGTGGGGGAGCAGTGTGTTTTGGCTGTTTGGAGGTGGGGTTGGATAGCTTGGGTGGTGGGTGGTTTGGGGAGTAGTATTGGTAGGTGGGGGTTGGTTTGTGGGCTTGGGAGGTGGTGGGGCAGTGTTAGGGCGGGGTTTAGGGGGTGGGGTGGGTGTGGGTAGGAGTGGTTGTTTAGTTTTATGGGTTTTGTGCGTGGTTGGGTGGGTGCAGGGGGTGTGGTTTTAGTGGGTGGTGGGTGGGTAGGTTTGGAGGGGGTTGGATGGAACGTGGTTTGGGGGTTTAGAGGGGAGGGGGCTGAGGATGGAGCTGGATGTAGTATTAGCAGATGGAATGGAGGAAGACACTGAGAGGAGAGAGTGATATGCGAGTGGTATGCGTGCTGGTTGTGACGACCTGACCAAGCGTTACACACTTGTTTTATAGTAAATAACTCAACTGAGTTGAGATGTGTCGTGACGACCGACGTAGCATTACACACTTGTTTTATAGTAAATAACTCAACTGAGTTGAGATGTGTCGTGACGACCGACCTAGCATTATACACTAGTTAGTAAATAACTCAACTGAGTTGAGATGTGCCGTGACACTTGTTACAAAACCCCAACATCGTTATGACTTCAGCAAACGGACCCAGCTTGTCCCTGGACATAAATGTTAACCCAAGAGGAAGGAGAAACCGCAGCAGTGAGAATGCATCGGCCTCTGGCTTCATGTTGGGCCTTTCTCATGGCATCTACCTCACACACAGGATTAGACGCCCTTGTACTGTGGTAGGTACATGCTACTCATACGTTGATTCCGAAGGTTTCGGTAAGTGAGTGAGTTTTACGCCACTATAAGCAATATTCCAGCAATATCACGGCGGGGGACACCAGAAATGGGCTTCACACATTGTACCCATGTGGGGAATCGAATCCGGGTCTTCATCGTGACGAGCGAACGATTTAACCACTAGGCTACCCCACCGCCCCAGCATTGCGTGAAGCTAAATGTTCACAGACTGAATATCTGGTTTACCTTTCCTTACAGGACATCCCCTGCCCCATTATCAGCGTAAATATTCGAGACGGTGTCTGCCTTTGCAAGGGGAGGGCCAGGCTGGAGCGTGTCCGACGGAGATCGCCGTTCTCCCCTGCTGTTGTTGCAATACACCTTGATCTCCCTGATGAGGAACCTTCCAGGAAGGTGCTTCTATTTTCACAGAGTAAAGCAACCAGTAGCAATTTGAATAATTAATTAATTGTATTTCAAATATGACTGACACAATTCAAGAGGGGTTCTGGTTACAAGAGGTTTCGTTATGTAGAATCTACAAAAATAGAGAACGGGAGCCAGAATAGTCTGTGGTGGAAACTGTTTCAGGTGCATATAGGTGTGTTGCACAAGAGATTTGAGTTGTACAGGCACCTGGGAAAAAGCATTTTGAGTCAGAGTGGTATCTAGGGAACAAGAGCTTTTGCTTGCAGATGGGTCGGTTGAGAAGGACTTTGAGTTCCATGTGGAACAAGAGTTTTGAGTTGCAAAAGATATTGTGGAATAAGAGTCCTTTGAAAAAGAGGTTTTGAGTTATAGACGGGTCTACTGAACACGATTTTGGAATTGCATAGGAGTCCGTGGAATAAAGGTTTTCGGACGTATAGGAGTCTGTGGAACAAGGGTTTCAGGGGTCTGTGGAACAAAACATGGAGTTGCATAGGAGTCTTTGGAACAAACGTATTGAGTTACAGAGAAATCTATTGAAGAAGCCCCTAGGACTTTAGGATATAGTCGATAGGTGTGTCTTAGAGAAAAGTGTTAGTAAACATAGGGAATATGTGGCGAATGTTTGGGTCACAGGGGCCGTTGTTTAGCGACAGTGTTCTGTTAGTGAAGAAAGTGTTGAGACGTGTGGGTTTCATAGATATCGTTGGGACGAGAATGGTAATCACAGATGGCTAAGTGTAGAGAGAATGATGGGTACATCGATGGTGTTTTGGCAAGACTGGGATTATTGGGGGTATCTGTAGAGATAGCTGTCTTCATTCAGTGTTGGAATACTGAAGGTCGGATCTGATGCTCGTACAAACCACTGAACAAATCTCCAAACAGATAATAACCTTTTGCGTTTCAGAAAAAATGCATGCATGATTAACAAAGGCTTTACCCTCTAGTTTAAGGACTTGTCAAACCATCTTGCACGTGTGGTGGAAGAACCGGATGACAGAGGGATCTTCTTCTGGTTCATCAAACGGGGACAATGGAATACACCCATCAGAGGCACATCTGCATATTTCATAGATTTGGACGGGAAACACAAGAAGGTACACATTTCCATTCTGATCTGGTTGATTTGTATGGCATTTCACGCCAAAATCAGAAATATTCCAGTAAAAGTCGAGTCCAGACAAACCAGTCATTGATGTTGTAAGCACAAATTTAAAGGACAGATAGAAGCGGATGTGTAATAATGTGTAGTTAATATGCATCGAAAATACTTATCATTTCCTGCTTTCCTGGCCTAAATTAGGTAATACCTGTGGTCAATATCTTGAGCAATATTTCTCTGAAAACATGTGCAAACATAACATTAATCACAAACTGTGTGTATGTATGTATGTATGTATGTATGTATGTATGTATGTATGTATGTATGTATGTATGTATGTATGTATGTATGTATGTATGTGTGTGTGTGTGTATGTATGTATGTGTGTGTGTGTGTGTGTGTGTATGTATGTATGTATGTATGTATGTATGTATGTATGTATGTATGTATGTATGTATGTATGTATGTATGTATGTATGTATGTATGTATGTATGTATGTATGTATGTATGTGTGTACATGTGTATAAGTGTCATGTGTAACATGAGCCTAAGGTCGTTTAATAAGGAGAGATAAACGGTTGACATAGATTGACAAGTTTTCTTAATTTGCAGTACAAGATCCACGCCAGGGATTGCCTCAAGTTAGTTGTTGTGTGAGTTGTTGTCATCGCTCTCTTTCGACATAACTGGTTGACACTGTAACTTCGTCAGCATCGTGTCAACTGGTATTATATTCAAACTTGGTTCCACTCTATTAGTCTGAATCGACTCATTATATGCATTTAAACATTTCATCTGTTATGTAATAGATATAGAAGGGTAATATTGATATAGAAAGGTAATATTGATATAGAAGGGTAATATTGATATAGAAGGATAATATTGATATAGAAGGGTAATATTGATATAGAAAGGTAATATTGATATAGAAGGGTAAATTGGGTAATATTGATATAGAAGGATAATATTGATATAGAAGGGTAATATTGATATAGAAAGGTAATATTGATATAGAAGGGTAATATTGATATAGAAAGGTAATATTGGTATAGAGGGTAATATTGATAGGTGACATTCATTTTTAACATAAAGGATGAATGAGAGGTATCATCTTCCTTCTCCAACTCCTTCCTCGACACCTCCAACTTCGTCTGTTGCTTTCTTCTCCTCACCGTACATGACCTATTAGACCCGTGAAGGTCTGGGTTAGAATGAACCTTCAGAAACCCATGCTTGTCGTAAGAGGCGACTAACTTGATCGGGTGGTCAGGCTCGCTGACTTGGTTGACACATGTTATCGTATCCCAATTGCGCAGATCGATGCGCATGATGTTGATCACTGGATTGTCTGGTCCAGATTCGATTATTTACAGACCGCCACCATATAGCTGGAATATTGCTGAGTGCGGCGTAAAACTAAACTCACTCACTCACTCACTCACTCGCATGACCTATAGGAAGCAACCGACAACATTTTATGCAGTGGTGCAGAAGCATATTTTCTGTTTTTTCGTCATATCCGTAGTAATATGTATTGGAATCAACTCATGCCCATGGCATTGTTTCTGTAAGATAGTTTCAAAGAAATAATGAGAGTTGACCTTCAATGTTTGTTTAAAGGCTCAGTGAAAGGACTCATCTGTCTTCTCCACTGCCTTCTTCATCGAGGTCTCCTCCAGCTTTGTCTCCATCTCGTTCTCCTAGGTAACCTTCATCTTGTCTTCAATATACGTTTGACAATGTGTATAATGACACAAACCGCTCTCTACTTTGTCACTTTGAGTGAGCAGTTGTCAAAGAGGAATTTTTCTTCATCTGATCACAAGGTCATTCTTCGTCTCGGTAAACTCAGGGCGGTTGGGTAGCCTAGTGGTTAAAGCGTTCGCTCATCACGCCTAAGGTCCGGGTTCGATTTCCAAAATGGGTACAATGTGTGAAGCCCATTTCTGGTGTCCCTCGCCGTCATATTGCTGGAATATTGCTAAAAGCGGCGTAAAACCCACCTCACTCACTCGGTAAACTCAAACAGCATCTATAGTATCTTCTTTGATAAATCTGCATCCCGTGGGGATTAAAGGTTGGAACGTCCTTGAGGTTAGAATACACCGGGACACTACGCCTATGACTATGATACTAATATTTCCAGCGATGTAATAAACGGGCTCGGGCTCCAATTTACCACTATACTACCAACGGTGTCCTCCCATTACGCAGACAGCCAGTTCGCAGACACCTTAAAACAACAACATTTACGGTTCAATGAACAGATGAGCAACTACCTGTTACCTACACATTATAATGGAATAGTCCAAATAAAAACACAAGAAAAAAATCTAATATTTATTTGATAACAAGAATATAATATTTTTCAAATAACAATGCATAATAGTAGCACAGTAGCTTCAAGTAGATATATCTTTGACATAGCAATATTTTATCTGTATTTATAGATCTAATTAAAGCTTAGTTATAGCAAGTCCAGTAAAGTTCATGTCTTGTTAGCCAAGTTTTATGAGGTTGGCCACCGCATCTAGGAACTGAAGAGGAGTTTTCTCGCCGCGACTCAGTGTGTCTTTGAGCCTCAGGATCCTGTTGTCGATCTCTCTGTAGACTCGCTTGCGACTTGGAGGAGCAGCCCCAAAGTCGAGTTGTCTCAGCTTGGCTCTGTCAGCCATCTCGATCCTCCGAATTACTTCCACAAAGCGAAATATGTTGGGGTGGCGGTGTGGAAGAGATCTGTTCATCCGACTGTGGAAACCTTCCATGTTGTTGTTGGTCCTTGGTCCTACAGTGTTATGATTGTTCCAAAGTGACAGTGGGAATCGGGCGTCATAGTCCACCCATGTGACGACAATGTAATCCTTTGAAGTCCTCAATGCGGTCAGAGGCTGGGAGGAGTCCATGGCATCAATCCAGGTGTCTTGAACCTGATCTTGTGGCAATAAGGCAAGGGCAGCTGCTCTCCTGATGAACTCTTTTACTGCTGGATCCTCCTTGTATGCAACTGTGAGACCTAGATCTTGTGTCTTCCTCCACAGGGCTTGGGAGAAGTGGAAGAAGCATCCCTTGGTCTCTGCATTTGGAAATTCCATCTCGATGGCTCGGATGGTGGCAAGCTCAAAATCTGTCTGTATTTTTGCTGGGGCCAGGGACGATTCAGTTCCTCCAACACCTTCTCCTTGAGGAGGCGGAACAGTCTAACGTAGGTGGTGGTTTGACGATCAGGCAGAAGGGCAAAGACTAAGGGGTATGACACAGAGTTGCAACGGGCATGAATTATGTAAACCTGATCCCAAAGCTCAGGGCAAGTACCATGCATGTAGATGGTATCGGCGGTCTGCAGCACCTGGAGCTGTTCAGTGGTAGAGAACACTAGGATCTTGTCTTGTTCTCCATCAGAAAGAAGAAGGAAACGACGTCCATCACTTGTCTCTGTCCAACTGTCTTCCAAATCCACTTCTCGGAGGGTGGTAGGTAACGCTGGCATGGTCTTGCGGCGGTGTCTGTACAGAGAACTGCTGACGCTGGTGAAAGATGGAAGAACACCTCCCCGTGCAGGTCTTGACGATGCATCTCCAGTGGGTGCAGGTCTGTCTGACCTTATTTCTGGTGTAAACATAACCATCCAGAACAATTTGAGGGGCCCCTCTCTCATCAGATACTCCACTCTCCGCACTCCAGCCATATTGATATCGAACAGATATGCTTTTCACCATTTTATATATTTCTTGCGTCAAATTTAAAATTAGTCTATTGATAAAATTAATTAATTAATCCTTGTTTTTAAAAACAGATGTAAAACTCTCTTAAGATCTTTCCTCATACAAAGATCAATTGATACTAAGAGAGAAGACAGATTATCATTAATCGGCGACCAAGTTCTGTGTAAACACAGTGACAAACCTCTATTCGATAGTAATTGATAGTAAAAACAACTTCGAGAAGAGAAAACAGATTATCATTTAATCACAACAAAGTTTTATTTACACTCAACCAAACCAAGCTTCTCAATAACGAACCTCAGCCTCCTCCACTCACTAGACTGTGGACTGTTCCATTATACCCGTAGGTGTTACCCTAATTAACCTTCTTGCTCAGTGTCTGCCAACTGGGTGTCTGTCAAATGGGTGTCTGTCAAATAGGAGATAACCCTACCAACAGTCGTCTTGTTGATGTTTGTGACTTGTATGACTTGTATGACTCGTATGTCACAAACAAAACACATTTCAGAGTATTAACGTTCCTGCTTTTTGGGAAACGATACCAAAGCACCAAATGTGTACATTAGTTCATATCAGATGACACCAGGTGTTCCCCAAAGGGGTAAGCATATCCTGTCTTAAATGTAGCACCCGCTATCAACAACATTTCCTTAAAAATGGAAAAGTAATATGCATGTCACCATAACTTTCGCTTCTGAGTATACATCCTAGAAACTGATCTACCAAATGTGGTGATACTTAGCATTGACTTTGTATCAAAATGTTATTAAAGGTTTAGAGAAATAGCGTATTGAAATCATAGTATTTTATCGGGTTGAAGAATAAAAGCTCACATTCGGCTCACAAGAGTGACAATGTCTTTTTGCTATTTCTCATACCTCTGTTTATATTTAAAGGCACAATGTCACATCACATTTCTCTAAAAATACATAATGCATTTCTCTCAGTAATACTAACTATCAGCCCTCGGGGAAGCTACCATATACTTTATTCCAAAAAATAGATACATATTTATTAAGGTTGCAATATTAAATTAAAAGATTCGAATGAATTCATGCAACGTTGCATTAAATCGACTCTCGCGCCCTCTACCGGCCGATAATTATTTCAAGCGAACCCCATAGCGTTATGCCCCTTAGAACGCTTTTCACTATTATCCTATTTATAACGCAACTTGTGCATGAAGCCAGTTCGGCAAACACCGACAACACAGCGTGCGACAGTTTTCGATGTGCGGAGCAATCGTTCACGTTCCATTTATGGCAAGTGTTATCTGTTTGGAAGCTGTTCGCCTCGAAGTTTCAGTTATCGATTTCATGCAAGTCGTAAGGGATATTGAGTCTTTTATTGCATCAATAGGAAGCCAAAGTGAGTGCATATGCCCCAATATATAAAATATAGGCAAACATATTGTTGAAAATGTGTGACATTGTGCCTTTAATGCTCTTAATGATTTAAAACAGTACTGTTTTTGTCATAATGTTTGTAGTCTTTGGTGTCTGATATTCCTGCTTGTCCTTTAATAACCACTTGTTTGATTTGTAATTAATCCAGAATTAAAAGCTCGAACTACAAAATCCTCACATCTGTATGTTATTTCCTAACATTTGTGGTCGTTTCTGTTATGATTTTTTTATATTACTGTCTGTATTTCATCTTTCTTTCATTCTTGTTCGCAGCACTGATTCAAACCAGCCTCCCCGTCGTGGTCGTCCTTCTCCCTCAAGGTAATCATTATCATGTCGTTATCATGTGGGGTTAAAAAAAACAAACAAACAAATGTAAAGGTCAAACGTCTGAAGATAAACAGAAGCACTGCCATATAAACGTACGGTACATTTCACCAACAAAAGTCTGTGTGGGACAATCGTGAAAAACGTGTAATTGGCTGTTCAGAGACGGATGGGTAAGGTTAATGGGTTCGAATCCTAAATTCGCATGTTATGTTTTTAGGCATGACAGAACCAGACACGGGCTGGAGTTTCTCTACAGCGATAATTAAGATCCATATAGTTTCGACCGTTCTCTCAACGACATGGTACAGCTATAATAGTCTTCAACGAGAGGTTAATCTTAAGTTCTGTCACTAATTCATATTTTAGAAATGTTTCAAACTTCTGACTGTAATTCAAAGTGAAATGTCAAAATCGGATGAGAAGTTTTGCAAAGCGTCTTTTGTAAGTATAAAATATATGCCTGGTATGTATAGTTCCGGTGAGCAAAACAGTTCACATTCCCAGGTACTTTGTCACTTATGTTGGTGTAAATGATAGAATATAGGCTGTAAAAATGGAAACTAATCGAAGTAGCAAGAAAATAATTGAAATATCGGGAAAATAATAGTTGCTCTGAGAAAATAATCGAAACTACGAGAATAGCAAAAAACAGAAACATATTATGTGACGAAAGTGGTGGATGTTCAAAGTTATGCAGGGGCGGACACAACTTTTTGAGAAAGGGGGGGATGGACACTATTGAGAAAAGGGAGGGTGCACACTTCATTTTCACCCGAGTTTCAATGGTCATTTAATAAACTTTCAGTACAAGGGGTGTAGGGTGGGGGGTGGGTGGGGTGGTAGTGCGCACCCTGTCCCCCCAACCCCTGGATCCGCCTATGTTATGAGACAAATCATCAGAGTTGCTCTGTTGATTTCTTGGGACTGTGCAAATTATACGATTTTGTGTTAGTAAGCAATTCATCGGTCTCGAATGAAATCAAACGGACTGTACCTCCACAGAGTGGTGACTTTGCATAACACTACTGCCACTGTGTAATTATCACGTAGCACGATATTTTTTCTTGGCAGTAAACAAACGCTCACATTATGAAAACACACGAAACTGGCTTTGTGAAACATTTCTGAGCGTTTTGCATAATTTTAAGTAAGGGAATGAATTCATGCAACGTTGCATTAAATCGACTCTCGCACCCTCTACCGGCCGATAATTATTTCAAGCAAACCCCATTGCGTTATGCCCCTTAGAACGCTTTTCACTATTATCCTATTTATAACGCAACTTGTGAATGAGGCCAGTTCGGCAAACACCGACAACACAGCGTGCGACAGTTTTCGATGTGCGAAGCAATCGTTCACGTTCCATTTATGGCAAGTGTTATCTGTTTGGAAGCTGTTCGCCTCGAAGTTTCAGTTATCGATTTCATGCAAGTCGTAAGGGATATTGAGTCTTTTATTGCATCAATAGGAAGCCAAAGTGAGTGCATATGCCCCCAATATATAAAATATAGGCAAACATATTGTTGAAAATGTGTGACATTGTGCCTTTAATGCTCTTAATGATTTAAAACAGTACTGTTTTTGTCATAATGTTTGTAGTCTTTGGTGTCTGATATTCCTGCTTGTCCTTTAATAACCACTTGTTTGATTTGTAATTAATCCAGAATCAAAAGCTCGAACTACAAAATCCTCACATCTGTATGTTATTTCCTAACATTTGTGGTCGTTTCTGTTATGATTTTTTTATATTACTGTCTGTATTTCATCTTTCTTTCATTCTTGTTCGCAGCACTGATTCAAACCAGCCTCCCCGTCGTGGTCGTCCTTCTCCCTCAAGGTAATCATTATCATGTCGTTATCATGTGGGGTTAAAAACAAACAAACAAATGTAAAGGTCAAACGTCTGAAGATAAACAGAAGCACTGCCATATAAACGTACGGTACATTTCACCAACAAAAGTCTGTGTGGGACAATCGTGAAAAACGTGTAATTGGCTGTTCAGAGACGGATGGGTAAGGTTAATGGGTTCGAATCCTAAATTCGCATGTTATGTTTTTAGGCATGACAGAACCAGACACGGGCTGGAGTTTCTCTACAGCGATAATTAAGATCCATATAGTTTCGACCGTTCTCTCAACGACATGGTACAGCTATAATAGTCTTCAACGAGAGGTTAATCTTAAGTTCTGTCACTAATTCATATTTTAGAAATGTTTCAAACTTCTGACTGTAATTCAAAGTGAAATGTCAAAATCGGATGAGAAGTTTTGCAAAGCGTCTTTTGTAAGTATAAAATATATGCCTGGTATGTATAGTTCCGGTGAGCAAAACAGTTCACATTCCCAGGTACTTTGTCACTTATGTTGGTGTAAATGATAGAATATAGGCTGTAAAATGGAAACTAATCGAAGTAGCAAGAAAATAATTGAAATATCGGGAAAATAATAGTTGCTCTGAGAGAAAATAATCGAAACTACGAGAATAGCAAAAACAGAAACATATTATGTGACGAAAGTGGTGGATGTTCAAAGTTATGCAGGGGCGGACACAACTTTTGAGAAAGGGGATGGACACTATTGAGAAAAGGGAGGGTGCACACTTCATTTTCACCCGAGTTTCAATGGTCATTTAATAAACTTTCAGTACAAGGGGTGTAGGGTGGGGGTGGGTGGGGTGGTAGTGCGCACCCTGTTCCCCACCCCTGGATCCGCCTATGTTATGAGACAAATCATCAGAGTTGCTCTGTTGATTTCTTGGGACTGTGCAAATTATACGATTTTGTGTTAGTAAGTAATTCATCGGTCTCGAATGAAATCAAACGGACTGTACCTCCACAGAGTGGTGACTTTGCATAACACTACTGCCACTGTGTAATTATCACGTAGCACGATATTTTTTCTTGGCAGTAAACAAACGCTCACATTATGAAAACACACGAAACTGGCTTTGTGAAACATTTCTGAGCGTTTTGCATAATTTTAAGTAAGGGAATGAATTCATGCAACGTTGCATTAAATCGACTCTCGCACCCTCTACCGGCCGATAATTATTTCAAGCAAACCCCATTGCGTTATGCCCCTTAGAACGCTTTTCACTATTATCCTATTTATAACGCAACTTGTGAATGAGGCCAGTTCGGCAAACACCGACAACACAGCGTGCGACAGTTTTCGATGTGCGAAGCAATCGTTCACGTTCCATTTATGGCAAGTGTTATCTGTTTGGAAGCTGTTCGCCTCGAAGTTTCAGTTATCGATTTCATGCAAGTCGTAAGGGATATTGAGTCTTTTATTGCATCAATAGGAAGCCAAAGTGAGTGCATATGCCCCCAATATATAAAATATAGGCAAACATATTGTTGAAAATGTGTGACATTGTGCCTTTAATGCTCTTAATGATTTAAAACAGTACTGTTTTTGTCATAATGTTTGTAGTCTTTGGTGTCTGATATTCCTGCTTGTCCTTTAATAACCACTTGTTTGATTTGTAATTAATCCAGAATTAAAAGCTCGAACTACAAAATCCTCACATCTGTATGTTATTTCCTAACATTTGTGGTCGTTTCTGTTATGATTTTTTTATATTACTGTCTGTATTTCATCTTTCTTTCATTCTTGTTCGCAGCACTGATTCAAACCAGCCTCCCCGTCGTGGTCGTCCTTCTCCCTCAAGGTAATCATTATCATGTCGTTATCATGTGGGGTTAAAAACAAACAAACAAATGTAAAGGTCAAACGTCTGAAGATAAACAGAAGCACTGCCATATAAACGTACGGTACATTTCACCAACAAAAGTCTGTGTGGGACAATCGTGAAAAACGTGTAATTGGCTGTTCAGAGACGGATGGGTAAGGTTAATGGGTTCGAATCCTAAATTCGCATGTTATGTTTTAGGCATGACAGAACCAGACACGGGCTGGAGTTTCTCTACAGCGATAATTAAGATCCATATAGTTTCGACCGTTCTCTCAACGACATGGTACAGCTATAATAGTCTTCAACGAGAGGTTAATCTTAAGTTCTGTCACTAATTCATATTTTAGAAATGTTTCAAACTTCTGACTGTAATTCAAAGTGAAATGTCAAAATCGGATGAGAAGTTTTGCAAAGCGTCTTTGTAAGTATAAAATATATGCCTGGTATGTATAGTTCCGGTGAGCAAAACAGTTCACATTCCCAGGTACTTTGTCACTTATGTTGGTGTAAATGATAGAATATAGGCTGTAAAATGGAAACTAATCGAAGTAGCAAGAAAATAATTGAAATATCGGGAAAATAATAGTTGCTCTGAGAAAATAATCGAAACTACGAGAATAGCAAAACACAGAAACATATTATGTGACGAAAGTGGTGGATGTTCAAAGTTATGCAGGGCGGATACAACTTTTTGAGAAAGGGGATGGACACTATTGAGAGAAAAGGGAGGGTGCACACTTCATTTTCACCCGAGTTTCAATGGTCATTTAATAAACTTTCAGTACAAGGGGTGTAGGGTGGGGGGTGGGTGGGGTGGTAGTGCGCACCCTGTCCCCCCAACCCCTGGATCCGCCTATGTTATGAGACAAATCATCAGAGTTGCTCTGTTGATTTCTTGGGACTGTGCAAATTATACGATTTTGTGTTAGTAAGTAATTCATCGGTCTCGAATGAAATCAAACGGACTGTACCTCCACAGAGTGGTGACTTTGCATAACACTACTGCCACTGTGTAATTATCACGTAGCACGATATTTTTTCTTGGCAGTAAACAAACGCTCACATTATGAAAACACACGAAACTGGCTTTGTGAAACATTTCTGAGCGTTTTGCATAATTTTAAGTAAGGGAATGAATTCATGCAACGTTGCATTAAATCGACTCTCGCACCCTCTACCGGCCGATAATTATTTCAAGCAAACCCCATTGCGTTATGCCCCTTAGAACGCTTTTCACTATTATCCTATTTATAACGCAACTTGTGAATGAGGCCAGTTCGGCAAACACCGACAACACAGCGTGCGACAGTTTTCGATGTGCGAAGCAATCGTTCACGTTCCATTTATGGCAAGTGTTAACTGTTTGGAAGCTGTTCGCCTCGAAGTTTCAGTTATCGATTTCATGCAAGTCGTAAGGGATATTGAGTCTTTATTGCATCAATAGGAAGCCAAAGTGAGTGCATATGCCCCAATATATAAAATATAGGCAAACATATTGTTGAAAATGTGTGACATTGTGCCTTTAATGCTCTTAATGATTTAAAACAGTACTGTTTTTGTCATAATGTTTGTAGTCTTTGGTGTCTGATATTCCTGCTTGTCCTTTAATAACCACTTGTTTGATTTGTAATTAATCCAGAATTAAAAGCTCGAACTACAAAATCCTCACATCTGTATGTTATTTCCTAACATTTGTGGTCGTTTCTGTTATGATTTTTTATATTACTGTCTGTATTTCATCTTTCTTTCATTCTTGTTCGCAGCACTGATTCAAACCAGCCTCCCCGTCGTGGTCGTCCTTCTCCCTCAAGGTAATCATTATCATGTCGTTATCATGTGGGGTTAAAACAAACAAACAAATGTAAAGGTCAAACGTCTGAAGATAAACAGAAGCACTGCCATATAAACGTACGGTACATTTCACCAACAAAAGTCTGTGTGGGACAATCGTGAAAAACGTGTAATTGGCTGTTCAGAGACGGATGGGTAAGGTTAATGGGTTCGAATCCTAAATTCGCATGTTATGTTTTTAGGCATGACAGAATCAGACACGGGCTGGAGTTTCTCTACAGCGATAATTAAGATCCATATAGTTTCGACCGTTCTCTCAACGACATGGTACAGCTATAATAGTCTTCAACGAGAGGTTAATCTTCAGTTCTGTCACTAATTCATATTTTAGAAATGTTTCAAACTCTGACTGTAATTGTGAAATGTCAAAATCGGAAGAGAAGTTTTGTAAAGCGTCTTTTGTAAGTATAAAATATATGCCTGGTATGTATAGTTCCGGTGAGCAAAACAGTTCACATTCCCAGGTACTTTGTCACTTATCTTGGTGTAAATGATAGAATATGGGCTGAAAAAATGGAAACTAATCGAAGTAGCAAGAAAATAATTGAAACATCGGGAAAATAATAGTTGCTCTGAGAAAATAATCGAAACTAAGAGAATAGCAAACAACAGAAACATATTATGTGACGAAAGTGGTGGGTGTTCAAAGTTATGCAGGGGCGGATACAGCTTTTTGAGAAAGGGGGTGTGGACACTATTGAGAAAAGGGAGGGTGCACACTTCATTTTCACCCGAGTTTCAATGGTCATTTAATAAACTTTCAGTACAAAAGGGGTGTGTGCGCACACAACAAAAGTAAACAAAGGATAATGGCGCAGATAGAAATATCTTTTCCTGTTTATCGATGATTTTTGAACGAAAGTTGACATGTGTTTACTTTGATGTAGTGTGTTTCAAAATTGAAACAGATGTAAAAAATCTACAATACTAGAACAGTATGGGTACGATGTGACGAATCGTCACGTGGTGGCTGCTTGTGGCAGAGTGACTGACTGAGTGAGTTTAGTTTTACGCCGCTTTTACCAATATTCCAGAAATATCACGGAAAACGGGCTTCATACATTGTGCCCATATGGGGAATCGAACCCGGATCTTTGGCGTGACGAGTAAACACTTCAGCCACTGGGCTATCACGTGGCAGGAGTATTATGCTGGTCGATCTGGAGTGAATGAGTTTAGTTTTACTCCGCAGTCAGCAATATTCCACCCATATGGCGGCGGTCTGTAAATAATCGAGTCTGGACCATACAATCCAGTGATCAACAGCATGAGCATCGATCTACGCAATTGGGAACCGATGACATGTGTCAACCAAGCCAGCGAGCCTGACCACCCGAACCCGTTAGTCGCCTCTTGCGACAAGCATGGGTTAATGAAGGTTCATTCTAGCCCGGACCTTCACGGGTGGTCGATCTGGAACTCTTGGTAGGACGATGCACTAGTCCAACGATTCTCCAAATATGCTTACACACTTGAATTGAGTCTAACTTCTTTGTAATAATGGCTGCATAATTTACATTCTTTACAGAGTCCGTACAAAGGATAAAGCTTTTCAAACCTCCAGCTAAGTTATTGATAAATACTTTACCGTATTGCCGTTTTCAGTGTCAATGATCGAATGGTAAATAAATCATGACGTTTAATATCAACATTCCTGTTTATTCTATTACTGTATACCGAGGAACTAACAATATGATGAAATGTTTTTCTTTTATACAAAGGATAAGCAAAGTCAAGCAGTTGGACAGAGGTATGACATGAATATATCTAAAGAAATCATGACGTTTAATATCAACATTCTTGTGAATTCTAATACTGTACACCGAAGAGGTATTTAATTGATGCATTCAATTTTTTCATTTAACTTTGCAGGATAGAAACCAAGGAAAATCAAGCAGAGGAACAGAGGTATGACATGAATATAAGGAAATAAATCTTAATGTTTAACATCAACATTCTTGTGTATTCTATTACTGTACACCGAAGAGGTATTTAATTGATGCATTCAATTTTTTCATTTAACTTTGCAGGATAGAAACCAAGGAAAATCAAGCAGAGGAACAGAGGTATGACATGAATATAAGGAAATACATCTTAATGTTTAACATCAACATTCTTGTGTATTCTATTACTGTACACCGAAGAACTGATTAAATGAGGAACTAAAATATTTCTATTTTATTTTTCAGGATAGAAACACAAGCAAAGAAACCTCAAGCAGAGGAACAAAGGTGTGGCATGAATATACGTGTATATAAATTAATCATGATGTTTAATATCAAAATTCCTCTTTATTCTATTAGTGTACACCAAAGAGCTAATTAAAGGATGCACTGAAATGTTTTTATTTAATTTTTCAGGATAGAAACACAAGCAAAGAAACCTCAAGCAGAGGAACCAAGGTGTGATATTTATGTATTGTTACGTGCAGTAGTTAACCGGGAACCTGTATAAGGACTGTGCGTGAAACCGACAACCAACAAAGCAACATCTTGAAATTAACAACTGTATTCTAAAACTTACTAATTTTACAAATTAATACAAATCACCTTATTACAGTGTACATTCAAGGGCAATATAATACAGTGATTTTAGCATTAAAGAGATGGTAATATCAACCACATTGTAGCAATGGTTAAGCTTCCAGATTGAGTATCCAGAGTTAAAATGATCTCCACGCCATTGCTGATATTTTTGTAACTTGAGGTGTAAAGCGAGATGAAAGGCAAGAGTTAACTCCCCTTATATATCTACACCTAAAGACTCCATAGGAATCTCCAACATCACTGGGATATATCCAGGTTAACGCAGTTCGATATCCTGAAATTGGAAATACAGTAGAACACGGATATAACGAACTCCAAGGGACCAAGAAATTTAGTTCGCTATATCCGTTGTTCGTTATTCACATTTGACCGCCACCTTCGATTGTAGAGATGTAGACATTCACAGACATTACCTATATCATGTTGATAAATATGAAGTTCATTTTTTATAATAAAATAGAAATAATATAACTACAACTTAAATAAATGTATTTTTTAATGAAACGGTTGTTGAATGGGTTAAACACGATATGTCTGTTTTGTTAATTAATTAATGACCATCAATAAATGTTGATTCATCGCAAACAAGATTGATGTATACTGTACCGCTAAGTGGCTGAGCTGACACTGAGTGAGTTCGCTAATCACGTCGTTAATTGGGTCTTGGGGGGTAGTAAATCAGTTCGCTATATCCGTTAATTCGCTACTCACGAGTTCGTTATTCACGTATAATTTTAATGATATTATAAAGGACTGTTGACGGGACTTTTAAATTTGTTCGCTATATCCGTTTGTACGCTATATCCGTGTTCGCTATAACCATGTTCTACGTACCTTAATACATTTCCGATAATCACACATTTGTCATTTATCATTAAGCAGAAGCTATTTATATAGAAGCAAAGAAAACTCTTTTTAGAAAGTTTTTCACGAAATTTGATATCAAACTGATAGACTGACTCTGTTAAAAATAAGAGAACAGAATATCAATAGTTGAATTGAGTTGCCTCACCCTGACAAGAATAGTGAGTGAGTGAATGAGTTTAGTTTTACGCCGCACTCAGCAATAGTCCAGCTATATGGCGGCGGCCTGACAAGAATAAGTAGTGATCCAAAGAGCGTTTTAGTCTTTTGTTCTAGGATCAACTCCTCAATTATTTTGCCGTAAAAAGCATTTACATTCGCGTTTTCATGTTGAATGATCGGACAAATATAGTCAAATTGTGGAAATGAGGTGGGAAAGCTACATAATTATTTCCATATTTACCCCACTAACTTAAATTAGTATTGATACATGGACAAAGCGTATCAGTAAGAATGTATCATTTGTTCCAGAATTGAAAAGCACAAAAATGTCAAAAACCCGGAGAAACACCACCTGTATTTTATACTGTTGGGGCATAAGATACACAATCCATCGATCCAACAACATTCTGACTTTTATTGTACTCCACTCACAGCACTGTGAAGGATAGCTGTGGTGTTCAGGCAAAATAGAATATGTTCCAGAAACCAAGCCCACAGACACGTACAAACCAGTGACCCACCACCACTCGTACCTGGTGAGGAGGTTCTGGCCCGGTGGGAGGATGACCGATGGTACTACAAAGGTAGGAAACATTGCCGATGGGATTAGTTTTAGGATGTTGACATCGTGGCTTCATAAGCGAGAACCTATACCTGATCCAGTCTTTGATGATGGTGAGGAGGTTCTGGCCCGGTGGGAGGATGACCGATGGTACTACAAAGGTAGGGAACATTGCCGATAGGATTAGTTTTAGAAGTCTGTTAGCATCGTGGCTTCATAAGCGAGCACCTATACCTGATCCAGTCTTTAATAGTGCTGGTATTTGCATACAACCTGCGATATGATACATCACGATACTGAAAGTCTTGTCACGAATATATATTGCCAAAGTATTGTGCACTGAAACAGCGATACGATACGAATCCCGATATAAGGGTTGCGATACATTATGTATCACGATACTAAAACCTTTAATTCTAACACTAACTATAAAACTCCTTTAGATCAAAACAAAACCAGTTATAAAGTATTTCGTCAAATTCCGCCAGGGTCGTTCAATGTTCATTCGGAAAGAAGATACTTTAAGTTTATACACGGACTTTGTGAATGTTGATAACATGCGAGTGCTATGTCTGACACATGTACAGTTCTTGACGCAAGAACTTCGGAGAAAATGTTTACTTATGAAGGGAAAATAAGTAAGCATATATTCTAATCATCAAACAAAAGTAAGTCTTTTTTCTTGACAGATATCGCGATTCGGCAATATTCAAAGCTAAATATCGATGTATTGTGGCTCATTTGAAATATCGTATCGGGATATCCGACAATGTAAAACTTTGTATCGATTCACTGTATCGGCGGCCCATGCATCGATGCATCGATGCATCGATGCGTATCGATGAATCGTCACACCACTAGACTCTTTAATGAGGTGAGGAGGTCCTGGCCCTCTCGGAGGACAACCGATGGTACTACAAAGGTAGAAATCATTGCCGATAGGATTAGTTTTAGGAGTCTGTTAGCATCGTGGCTTCATAAGCAAGCACCCTGGGCATTAGTCAGTCACCGCCTATCACTAATCCTAGTAGACATTTGATGACGGTGAGGAGGTTCTGGCCCTCTGGGAGGACGACGGATGTTTTGTTTGTTTTTGTTCATACCAAAGGCCCGGGTTTGATTCCCCACTCAATATTTCAGGAAGGATTGTCCAGTGCATGGATAACGACCACTACAAGGTGAAAGATACCACAGGCCGAGATGACATCATCAGTCGGGACGATATCGTCCGGATAACTGATCCTTACGACACTGTGTCCTCTCACAAGGTAACACTTGAATAGGTTTACTGAGGAATTATTTCTGTTATTTCGATTCCCCACATGGGTACACAGTGTGAGGCCCATTTCTGGTGTCCCCCGATATTGCTGGAATATTGCTAAAAGCGGCGTAAAAATAAAATTCACTCACTCATTCATTTCAGAGCAGCATCATACTCGCGATCTAGCTTAGCAGTGGCAGGCCTACCAAAGAAAACTTTCCCACTGTGCAGAAAACCCAGAGAAGCCCACATTAATCGTGGAAATAGCAACATTAACAGTAAAACCGGCAACGAAAGACTATGAAACTGCAACATTTTTTTGTATCAGCGAACTTTGACCTCTACTGCGCATGCCCATTACGACCGGCGCTTCTTTCAAATTTCCGAGCAACCTTAAATCGACTCGCGTAGAAAAAGTATTGAATATGTCGAAATAATTGCTGTCAATCATTTCATACGAATGGAAAGTAAACTAAACAAGTGGGCACACAGGTATGATGATGATAAATGCCAAATAACACAACAAAAATACTATAAAAAGGGAATGTAACTTTTGTCTAAGCTGGAAAATGTCAACATGCGGTCAAGACTTCCTCTTCCATGTACACATGCGCAAAATCGAAGCTGCAGGATCTTCGTTTTTACATCCCGATTCAGCGATTTAAAGTTGCCGTTTTTAATGTTTCAGTAGCGAGGTATTACGTTTATGTTGCTATTTCCACGATTAATGTGCGTTTTTCTGCGTTTTTCTGCACAGTGGGAAAGTTTTCTTTGGTAGGCCTGAGTGGGATCCACCTTGATCTTCTTCCGATTATAGCTTGAATATAACTAAGCGCGTTGTTGTGTAAATCCGTGCCTCATAATTGAGTTCTCTTTCTGTCACAGAGAGCCAGTGGCTGTGTACTGGCCCGACACCCTATCTACTACTGGAGCTACGCCCCTGGCCGGGTGGTGGAAACGCTTGGTCAGCATCTAACTGTCCGTTTCTATGACAACAATCAGAAAAACATCAACAGATGGGACGTGTACGCTGCCAGGGACCGAGAGAAACATGACAAGGACGTGGCGGAGATTCGCCAGCGAGAGAAAGACTGGGAGGGACTGCAGGCTTTCATCAGAGACGAATCAGGCGTGTATAAACTAGGTACGTCAACGGAGACGAACCAGGGGTGTACAGACTGGGTAGGTGACCATAGACGAATCAGATGTGTACAGACAGGTAGGTCACCGGAGACGAATCAGGCGTGTAATAGACTGGGTAGATTACAGAGAAGAGTCAGGGGTATAAAGAATTGGTAGGTCATAGAGACAAATCAGGTGTGTACAGACTGGGTAGTTGACCAGAGACGAATTAGGGGTTTACAAACTGTGTAGGTCACCAGAGACGAATCAGGGGTTTACAAACTTGGTAGGTCAACAGAGATGAATTAGGGGTTTACAAACTTGGTAGGTGACCAGAGATGAATTAGGGGTATACAAACTTGGTAGGTCAACAGAGATGAATCAGGGGTATACAGACTGGGTAGGTGACCAGAGATGAATTAGGGGTTTACAAACTGGGTAGGTCAACAGAGACGAATTAGGGGTTTACAAACTTGGTAGGTCAACAGAGATGAATTAGGGGTTTACAAACTTGGTAGGTCAACAGAGATGAATCAGGGGTTTACAAACTTGGTAGGTCACCAGAGACGAAACAGGGGTTTACAAACTTGGTAGGTCACCAGAGACGAATTAGGGGTTTACAGACTGGGTAGGTGACCAGAGACAAATCAGGTGTTTACAGACTGGGTAGGTCAACAGAGATGAATCAGGGGTATACAGACTGGGTAGGTCAACAGAGATGAATCAGGGGTTTACAAACTGGGTAGGTCAACAAAGATGAATTAGGGGTTTACAAACTGGGTAGGTCAACAGAGATGAATCAGGGGTTTACAGACTGGGTAGGTGACCAGAGACGAATCAGGGGTATACAGACTGGGTAGGTCAACAGAGATGAATCAGGGGTATACAGACTGGGTAGGTCAACAGAGATGAATCAGGGGTATACAGACTGGGTAGGTCAACAGAGATGAATCAGGGGTTTACAAACTGGGTAGGTCAACAGAGATGAATCAGGGGTTTACAAACTGGGTAGGTCAACAGAGATGAATTAGGGGTTTACAAACTGGGTAGGTCAACAGAGATGAATTAGGGGTTTACAAACTGGGTAGGTCACCAGAGATGAATCAGGGGTGTACAGACTGGGTAGGTGACCAGAGACGAATCAGGGGTTTACAGACTGGGTAGGTGACCAGAGACGAATTAGGCGTATTCAGACAATGTATAGTCGGGTGAATATGGCAGGTAACCTAAAAAAAATTATAACAAAAGGTTTCTTGACGTTGTCTCCTACCAGGTACGCTTTATAACAGAAAAAAAGTCTACCAAAATCCAACTGTGCATTATGGGTAAAAACGGGTATTTCCAAGATTGCCGCCGTTGGGACTTTCCAATCACCAGAATCACTATATCTTTGTCAATAATTGAGTCCAAAGCATAGTTTTTGGTTGTTATCTATGGTTTTGAAGGATGACCAAACAACTGGTGACAAAATATTTAGGATTTGACTTGTGGAAATCTGAAAGTGAGTATTATCCATAGGAGTAAATTTGAAAATGTTGCCATTGGTATACATTTTAAGTAGAAGAATATCATCTAAATAAACAATGTTAGGATAATGTTCCATAACAAGATTTTTACCAAGGACACTATTTAGTCCTAATCTTTGTCCTCATCTTCTTCTTTTGAGGGTTCATTGACTGGATTGTCACAATATGTCACTTGGCACAGTCCACAGGCAGTCGTGCATTGAAGTCCATTCTTTCTGCAGCTGCAGCGTGCGGAACTGCAACTAGCTGTGCAGTTACAATGTATGATCTTGATAAGACTGTCTGGAGCAGCATTTAGTGATGTCATGATGGGAACAAAGTGGTTGTCTTCAAGTTTCCAACCCCATTGCAATGGATCGAGGTTAGTTTGCATGTCCATCCAAACCATGACCTGATAATAGGCACGCAGACAGTGAAACTTGGTGGCTGATTCCGTTGGGGGAAGGCGTTCAGGTGTAACAAAAGATTTAGCAGCCAAAACCTTCTTTGCGAATACACTGTAACGCAATGCAGCCAGGGAACATGTTCTCTCTCCACCAAATAGGATCACCATGGCCTGGCGACCGGTTTCCTCTATCTTTGCTTGTTTGACGTCTTTTGCAGTGAAAGTATCTGCACATAGCTGGAGGACTTGATCACCTTTGACAAGTTTCTTGAACACTGATTTTTTCCCAATGCCATAAATCCGAGACGTGGAATCACAGCCTGTAAATGAGTGCAGAAATAACAGTTGGGTGCACAGCTTATTGCCAAGAAGTTGCTTCATCCAGTTGATGTTGTACACTTTCAGACAGACTTTTGAAGAACTGACTGATCTGAAATAGAGTGAATTCCCACCTGCCATACAGTAATGCAGCAGAAGAATCAATAAGTCAGTGTCCTCTCCGATCAGTGTGGTAGAATGGGTCTTTGCACTGTTTACTGCAGTCTTTGCGATGTCAACATCTGCATCTCCATGTGCCTGAATGACTTTACATCCAGCTTCCTTAAGTTTCTCACTTATCAAGTTGATTAAACCTTGTTTGTTTTTGTCTATGGATAGGAACTCTACCTTCTTCCCTTCAAATTCAGTTTCATGTGTAAAGTTAACAGTCCGGAAGCTGTTTTTTTGTCCCCGCCGTTTGTGTGTGTTATCTTTTATTGAAGGGCCAGTCCCATACCCATCAAAAACAATAGTTGCCATCCCATAGTGCTTAGTTGTGAAATCTGCATATCCCTTGGCAATTTTCCCGTAAGTGTCACCGTTCCACTTTAGCTTGTGTAGCAAGGAGCCTCCATCTAGCACATACTTTTCAGTCTGTGGGATGACATCTGATGTGTGATCACATCTTGCTATCTTTTTACAGTGATCATTGACAGCTTCAGCTAGTTGAGGTTTGTCTGCCTTTCGTATAATCTTATTGTCCTCAAACAGAGATGGTGGGTATGGACTTAACTCATATTTCAGCACTTCTTCAAATGCCAAATCCCCTGTTCTTGACACCACCAGGAATCGTTGAAACAGCAAACTAGGATCCATTGTTCTGTCAGGAGAAACCTGGACAGCAGTAGAATTTCCCAATGTCCTCGCTTTCTCTTTCCTTTTGATGGAGAAAAAATATACAGGCTGTCCAACCATTTTGTCAATAATATTTTTCCCTATTGAGTCATATTCATGAACATTTGCATCCTCGTTTGCAACGATACCATTGATGATATTTCTCAATGCTGGGTCTGAGGTGAAAGGAGAGCAAGAAGAGAGTTTGGAATGTATCTTCAACAGATCAGAAGCGTCTCTCTCAATCCTGGCGACACTGGCTTCTTTATGTTGCTCACTTGTGGAGTATGTGAGTTCATTGAAGTCTTGCATGGCAATGTTCAACTCAGAGGTAATGGGTGCTGACATTGTCCATAGTGTTCGCTGTTCTTCTGTCATCTTTCTGCCATGGGTCAAGCCTCCTGTGCTTTTTATTGATCTCATTGTTGTTTGTTCGATGATTAGATCACTACTGAGGCCTGCCCAAAACTGGTTTGTTCTTCGGATCACATGGAAACCATCTTGAAACTTCTTAAAAACTTCTGGGGTTTTGGTGTCCAACTCAGCCATATCTTGACTATAGAGGTAAGCCGATTTTAGGTAGTTGTAATGTCCAGCTGCAGCAAATATTGGCAATGCATTAGCTATAGCAAAGAGATGATCATCCCAGGATCCAGTGTGATCAGCTTTGATCAGTTCTCGAGCCGTGACAAGCATCTTCTGATATCCTATCCACAACTGGCTTGTTTTGGAGTTTGCCCTAAGTTTGGACCTCTTTTTGTCAAGTTCATTGATCACTTGAATGAAGGACACTGATTGTCTGAGTTCTTCAATTTGTTTGTCTCCCTTTAACAAGGAGGAATAAATTTCTCAATTTCAAGCACATGGTTTGCAAGATCTGGGTTATCTTCCACTGCCGATTTCAAGATCATTTGGTGGAGACATTTGTCTACTAGAAGGTGGCCTCATAATGCCCTTTGAACAGCCTTGCCAGACATCATATGAACCACGGCATTTTCACCATACACTATTTCCAGAATGTTTTTCAGACCTGACCCAGCCATCAGTGTGCCTATTGCTCCAAGTAGATTCATGAACATGTGGAAAGTACCTAGTCTAAGTATGATACTCTTCAAAGGGCTATTCCCTGGTGCAGCTTGAATGACCTCGGATGCTTTCCAATACAAGGGCTGGTCGAATGTTACCACTGGAAAGATATTGTGTCTGAAGGATAGGCTGGTCAGGTATTCCAACGTTGACAGAATGCATGACTTGTCACCTGGATACATATCAATCATGGGCAGATAGACTATAGAGGACACACCGGGATGTTTCTGTTTTTGATGAAGGATGTGCATCATCCCCTGCCAATTCGGAACTGTCTGCTTGAAACTGAAGGATAGTTCCCATAAAACATCAACCATTCTGTCACAGGCCTGAAAACAAGGGAGGTGTTAACCTTGTGAAGAACATGGCTGGTGAATCTGTATTCTTTAATATCAATTTTTGACATTCTTGCAATGTTCAGTTCTGATGTTCTTTGCCTTGTTACCAGATGACATGGATTTCCACCTGGAGTCATTGCAGCTATCATGCCCATTCCATGAAAGGTACCTTTCCCATCAATGGTAATGGTGTTGTGATCAACATTGTCACAGGCAAACAATACTGATATGTCTGGCACATCCTGCTCTTCAAGCAGCAAGTCGGGTGTGACACAACTTGCAGCATTTTTTTCAAAGCGTAATACTTCCCTGTATGATGAACTGTACCCCATGCAAGACAATGTTTCCACAAGGAATTTTGAGCGATAAAGGTGATGCACTTGTACCCCGAGGCAAATCTGGAGTGGTGCAATAACAGCCCTTGGTCTGACTGCCTGTATTATGGCTTGGCCAATAGCAGCAACTTTTCTTGATTTGTTCTTTCCAACAAACAGACAGTTGAGCAAGTTCTGTAGTGTATCTGGAAGGAATGACAGTGCAGAATCAAGTCCAAGTTCTTCTGACTTTGGATAGCAATCAGTAGAAGTTGGTACATCTGTTTTAATGTCACTCTTGATCAATCTTGCAGCGGTCTCAATTATGGCCTTCTTTTGTGTTTCATCGTCACCTTCACGTTCTGCATTTTTGTAATATGCTTGGAGGATATTAGATGTTTTCTCCCTGAACGTGATAATGTCACTTAGTCCTTCTCTGTCAGCTATAAAGATAGAGTCCCCCCATAGCGTTCCTTCAGTTTGTTCTTCAAATGGGAGTTGGTGTAGGGGAGAGAATTTTCACCCATCAGATACTTCCTCATTCTTTCCCGAAGGTATGTAATAGTCATCTGTTCCTCATCATTGTCCTCGAGATACAAACACATTTTGGCAAAAGCCTGCTCTTGATCACTGTCTTTAGGACGCCCAGGTGTTTTAGTTCTAGGGACATCACGAAATTTGACTGGTACATCACTGCCATTACGGAAGTGTACACTGCACTGATGATGATAGATGCAATCGGCTGCATGCAGATCTCCTCCATAGTACTGAATGCGTCCTTCCACTGCAAGAGACCAATCATCACATCTTTTTTCGCAAGAATCTAGTATTGATTTTGCAAAGTTGAAAGTCTTAACGTAGCTGAAATCTGGACTACGCAAGGAAACTGTGTTACCAAAAAATATACAGTCGGAATTACTATTGAAAGTATCCTTCAAAACACGAGAACTTCGCCCCAAAGGTTTTTTTTGTGTCCCTTGTTTCTTCATCTGATTTTCAACATCATGCCGATTGATATACTGTTTGCGACAGTGCAAGTGCACCTTGCATCCTGCTTCCACACTAATGTCATCACCTCTCTGAGCACTAGCAGCGTTGATACCATCGGCTCCCTTCTGACGAATTTTCACAATGTCACGGCCATTGTCAAGTCTTTTCAGACATAACTGACACTTGAAGAATAAGTGTTCTCCAACTGTGGTCTGAAACAAATGATGAAACAGTGGTACAATTCACACTGGCATTTATATAGAGAAAAGATGGTAATATTTATTGCCTATACAACATTTTTATTTTGCCTATAGAACATCATAAGACAACATTAAACTGAAGTTTTATTATAACCAAAAAATATATGTAGAGAGATAATAACATTTTCATACCTATTCATATGTCAATGCTTAAGATAGTTATTTGTTCCAAAAATCTAAATTAAATAGCAAGATCTTATATTCATGCAATTGAATTTTATTAGGCAAAGCACTTCAATATTTCATGTTCATTCATTACTATACATCTAAAATATCATGATCAAAATAGGATTTTTTGCATTATATTTTATTTGAAAAAAACATTCAAATTCAGATTCATTTTCTTATTCAGGGCACTTAAGTGTTTTATGTTTGTGGAAATTATATCAATCAATATAAAAACTAATTGTTTAAAATGGTTCACATGTAACTTTATAGGAAATTATGATAAAAAAGTAGGTACTACTTAAAAAAAATCATATTTAAAAATTCATCTGGGTATTTAAGAATGTATGATAAGGCATCAAGAAAACAGTTTTTTATATAAGCTGGGCCCCGTCTCGCATATCGCAATATACGAGCCGGTACAGGCCAAAGAGACGATGGCTGAGAAGGCCTACGCAAAGCCAACATTGACAATGTTATGTCATTTTCCATTGGTTGCTATTTTCAGACGGCCGCGCTGTCCTTCATCGGAAGACGTCCAAAACACATTTTGTATCGTTTTCAAAAATCGGCCATGCAGCCGCTTGAAAGACCTTTGAAAATATAAATTGTTCTTATTTTTTGGAAACTTCTTTTTTGCAAAATTCTTAATTTCTGTTATTGTACATATTTGATATCAATATTCACGAGAAATAATAGTAAACGTAAATATTCGTTTTATTTGCGTGAAAGGATCGTCGCTTTTCAAATACATACCCTAATTCCCTATGCGACAAAGATTTTTATTATAAGCTTGTCAGAAAACAGCGAATAAAATCATCTCTGATGTATGAACAAGACAAATATGCAGGTAATTTATACATGTGGACATCGGTCGAGCCACGTATACAAATTAAATCTCGTATTGCAAATATTCCAAACTTTCCTCGCGGATGACGTTAGAAAGGTATACATGTTTTAGAGTGGGTAGGTGTGCCAACAAGCCCAACACTGGCACAAAATCAGTAGTAAGTCGAAAAATGAATTTATAATATTTTGTGGTTATATATAAGTATTGAATTATTCACTTAGAAAATGCTGAATGTGTCCTGAGGACACTCTAGTACAGCAACAAGAAAACTTTTGAGGCGATACATCAACACCGCGGTAAACTCTTTGTTCATCATTTTCACCAAATATTAAATCAACATGGGTAGGCTTTTTAAGCAATATGGTCTTGTCATCAATACAAGGTGGTTATATGAAATTGAGCAATATAGATAATTGTGAAAACGAAGGCGGAGCAAACTCTACTTGTTTAAAATGTAAACAAATCATCACAATTCAGATCTTACACTATGTAGTTTATAGATTTATGAAAGTTTGATAATAGTTGGTTTGAACATACTTTTAATAGGAAATTTACAATGTTAGTGTTGTATACAAAATCTCGTACCTTTAGACAAGTGTCAGCAGATCTAAATGTATTCTACATCTGAACATAATGTTATAGTCGGAGGACCGTAGATCCAATGCAACGTTCACTTTTCAGATCCTATGAAACTGCGTCACAAAATACTTCCGCATCCAGTGGTATTATTTTCAGTAATTTCATTACATTTGAAGATATGGCTGGTACTCTATTAATAATGATGCAAAATTAGTCAAAATGCATCTACATTAACAGGTGAATATGGGAATCTAAGAACTAAATTATATATCAGATAGGGCTATCCAAATCGCCATTACGTGCTTTCTCATGTAGTGCTTTGTCATCTTTTCTTATGAATTGTGCAACTACCAAAACATATCCGCTCATATTGTGGAACTTTGTATTAGTATAGTTTGGTTCATGGTGAACAAACCATAACGAAAATATAGCGTCCATATCCACAACAAATTCTCTCCAAGTATTCTGAGTTACATTGACCTAGTGTTAAGCATGTTGGAGTTATGACCCCTTATCTTTATACGTGTATGGCCTCTCTGTCGTCGTTTGACTTCATAGAACAAAATCCTTTTTCGACAATTCTTGCGAGTCATTTTTAAGATTGAGCGTATAACGTTATGCATAAGCACACAAACCCATTTCGTATATACTTATGTCGTTCAGATATCAGAATGTATTATCTTCGCTCACACCTTCCGTAACGATGCCAATTTAAAAAATTCGTAGCACAGTGCTTTCATCAATACACAATCAAAAGCGGAGATATTTACTGCTTTTTAACGCATAACAAAAATTTGGACAACATTTAACAGTGTCTATTTCTCAAACCGCCGAGGTAGGTGCACTTATATTTATACCAACGGATAGGAAATTTAATATTCTACATTTCTATGTAATTTTATAGCCATACGCAGATCCAGGACCATGTAAGCGCAATTCTCGCACAACGTTCACTTTTCAAGTCTTATGATTCCCAGATCTCTCATCGCGACGGAATCCAGTTTGACCAATCCGGATGTGACGTCAAATAAACGAGCAGAGCGTTTTAAATGGGAGCCTATACCGGCTCCTAGCTTTGTCGAACGTTAGCGCGCGCAAAGGGAGCCGGGAACCAGCTTATTTTTTATATAGGTCAAACTCCATGCAGAGAAGGTGAAACACACTGCAGAGGAGCTTGGCTCCAAGCAGAGGGGCTGGAGGTGTTGTAAATTTGCTGCACTTTTCTTTGAAATTAAGCTTTATATTGCAATTTCCTCAATAAACATTGTTGTGAATCTTGTTTGTTTGGTATTTAACAACTATAATCATAAGTTTTATTATGGATTACCTTTTATTCGATGTAGATATGCTTCTGATGGTCATATTGACATCATAGCAGACAGCACATTCATTGAGATGGATTTACTTATACATTTAATATCAAACACCATTTTTTGGAGTAGTTTAAGCTGATGTATATTCTAACTCAACAAAATTCATATCTCAATAATTACCATTTCCATTAAGTTGACATTATGGGCTGGAAGAAGACTTCATGTAAATATGCTGGGAAATGTGTTGTCTCCAATGTAAACAAGCAGTGGATAGTACTCACCTAAAAACTTGTTCTTCATCTGTATCGCTTGTAGTTGGCTGCTGCTTGATACCATGTTATAGAAATAACCGATTTTATTATCTGTTGATAACCATACCAAGTAGAAGTGAAAACCACTGAGAAACCTTTTGTTAGAATTTTTCAAGGGTAGTGTGGTGTGCCATGAATGAACTAGTGGCTGCTAAGCAAATACTATATCTACGTTTCTAGGTACAATAGAAAAACAGATAGGACGTCAGCAGAAATATTCCGTGAGATGGGGCGATGGCAAGTGCAGCGAACAGATGTCCATCCACATTTATGGAACATACACCCCTATGATCAAGTTCAAGGTCGGCAGCTACATCCTGGCACGTGCTGACCCTGACAGAATACATTTCCTTCCGGGTCAAGTGAGAAATGTCCACAGAGATGGAGACGATCAAAGGCTAGAAGTGGAGTTTGTCAATGGGAAAAGGTATTACAGGAATGTTTGAGATTGATCAGTTATGGTTAATCAAGAGACAAAATATGGATTGTTTTCTAAATCTTTTTGAAAACTTCATACTGGTTATGTTTTGATCATGACACCTACAAACGTACTTCCTGTTGTTAAACGCAGATGTGACATACTTGGAGACACCAGTAGCGATATTCGATGGCCACCTCGTTTAAATATGTCACCCGCAGGTATAGTTCAAATCCTCATATAGGTTTACATGTAAAGACATGGATGTGCAACATCTTGAGACTTCATCAATACTGTTTAGTGTAGAAACATACTTTCACTCACGAATTCTGGTTTCAGCTTAAAGAATGTACTCTTCAAACATAGTTACTGGATGAACAAGATGGCGTTCCATGAGGCGGAGGAGATGTTTCTGAGGCATCACCAAGACATGAGTGATGAGGAAGACTCCCCTCGTTACGGATAGACTGCATTTGGTCATCTCCATCCAATATATGACATCTTGGAGAGTATCTGGAATAATCCATACTGGATCTAGAGTCACTAGTTTCACAATTCACGTGACTGTCACATGACAGAATATGGCAGCAGTCACGGTCCTTATATACTAACACTGCTCCTATTGAAGTCTCTGGCTTCCTAACTCACGTGGCCCAACATGAAAATGGCCGTGACCAATATGTGTGATTATTGCTTTATATGAAAGTGAATATATTTTCACCATGGTTATTTTATCAAAATCGTCCGCCATGTTGTACAAACCACATACCGAGGAATCAGTCCGTGTTGCTTCCAGTGAATGCACGCACTGTCAATATTTCCATGGTGTCCGAGGTATTATCTTGGTGACGAGGGTACCAGTCGAATTGAGCCAGCTCCAAAATGCCCCAGCAAATTTGGTCAAATTGGGCCGGATATTTGTCAAATTTCCCAAGGGGGTAGTCAGAATGGCCCAGTTTATTTGAAATGATTAAATATATTCCCTAACTGCACAGTTTTTGTCAATTTTGATATTATATTCTTCATATAAAAGGTATTAATAAGTTATATTTCTGATAAATGTTCCATTAGTAAACACATAACAGCAAAATGAATATCCCTGTATAGAAAACACTGTAATACCAATCATTATGCATGTTATTAATGCTCTTATTTGTTATAATGCATGTTCTTTGCTCTTATGAGTTTACTAATGGAACATTTATAAGAAATATTACTTCCTAATAACTTTTATACTTCAGCTAGCTAGTATTACACTGATGGGCAAAAGAAAGTTCACACTTGGTGCTTTGAGATGCCTGAGGTGCCTGACTCTGACGATGTGGGTTCAAATCCCGTATGGGACTGAACCTAAGAAAAGTCCTAGAATCTGCATTTTACTGAGAAAGTGTAATCTTAAAACTAAATGTTTTAAATAACCTTTAGTTTTGGCAATGGCATTACATGCCGTCCTTTCTTCTTTCGTAAAGTAAATACATGAATTAAAATAATGCTTGTATTATTGATGATTTGTGTGTTTTGTATTCTTTTCCTCTCTATAACAATCCCCGATGCAGCAGAATAGAATGTGATTTAACAGTCTTGCAGCTACTAGTTCAGTAACATTTAGAGGATGGTAGGGTAGCCTGGTGCCTAAAGCCTTAACTTGTCACGCCGAACACATGGGTTTAATCCCCCACATGGGTACAATGTGTGAAGCCCATTTGTGGTGTCCCCCGCCTTGATATTTGCTGGAATATTGCGTTAAAAACGGCGTTAAACTAAACTCGCTCACTCACAAGACCTGGGATTCAAACACACACCACGCGATTCCTGGTTCGCAAAAGAATTGGGATTCGAACACACAAAACGCAATTCCTGGTTCACACAAGACTTGGGATTCGAACATACAAAACGCAATTCCTGGTTCACACAAGACATGGGATTCGAACAACACAAGGCGATTCCTGGTTGGCACAAGACCTGGGATTTGAACACCCAAAACGCGATTCCTGGTTCGCACAAGACCTGGGATTCAAACACACAAAACACGATTCCTGGTTCGCACAAGACCTTGGATTCGAACACACAAAACGCAATTCCTGGTTGGCACAAGACCTGGGATTCCAACACACAAAACAGGATTCCTGGTTCGCACAAGACCTGGGATTTCAACCCCCAAAACACGATTCCTGGTTCGCACAAGACCTGGGATTCGAAGACACAAAAGACGATTCCTGGTTCGCACAAGACCTGGGATTTGAACACACAAAACGCGATTCCTGGCTTTATAGGTTGTTTATGAATTAATGTTATTAATAATGCACAAAGTTCTAGACAGTAACCATTCGGAAAACTTGTTAGTGCCTAAATCTGAGAGAGAGATGGATGTAACACCAGTATGAACGGTGTTTAGGGTAACAACATGACAAGACAGGTTGTAGAGTGAGGGAGGGAGATGGATGTAACGCCAGTATGAACAGTGTTTAGGGTAACATCATGACAAGAGAGGTTGTAGAGTGAGTGAGGGAGATGAATTTAACGCCAGTATGAACGGTATTTAGGGTAACATCATGACAAGAGAGTTTGTAGAGTCAGTGAGTGAGTTTGGTTTAACGCCAGTATGAACGGTGTTTAGGGTAACATCATGACAAGAGAGAGGTTGTAGAGTGAGTAAGGGAGATGGATGTAACACCAGTATGAACAGTGTTTAGGGTAACATCATGACAAGTGAGGTTGTAGAGTGAGTGAGGGATATGGATGGGTTTAAAGCCAGTATGAACGGTGTTTAGGGTAACATCATGACAAGCGAGTTTGTAGAGTGAGTGAGGCAGTTGGTTAACGCTTGTATGAGTCAGTGAGCTTGTCAGTGAGAGTGAGTGAGAGAGATGGATTTAAGGCCAGTATGAACGGTGTTTAGGGTAACATCATGACAAGTGAGTTTGTAGAGTGAGTGAGAGAGATGGATGTAACGCCAGTATGAACGGTGTTTAGGGTAACATCATGACAAGAGAGAGGTTGTAGAGTGAGTAAGGGAGATGGATGTAACACCAGTATGAACGGTGTTTAGGGTAACATCATGACAAGACAGGTTGTAGAGTGAGGGAGGGAGATGGATGTAACGCCAGTATGAACAGTGTTTAGGGTAACATCATGACAAGAGAGGTTGTAGAGTGAGTGAGGGAGATGGATTTAACGCCAGTATGAACGGTATTTAGGGTAAATCATGACAAGCGACAGAGTGAGAGGAGTTTGTATGAGTCAGTGAGCTTGAGTTTGGTTTAACGCCAGTATGAACGGTGTTTAGGGTAACATCATGACAAGAGAGAGGTTGTAGAGTGAGTAAGGGAGATGGATGTAACACCAGTATGAACAGTGTTTAGGGTAACATCATGACAAGTGAGGTTGTAGAGTGAGTGAGGGATATGGATGGGTTTAAAGCCAGTATGAACGGTGTTTAGGGTAACATCATGACAAGTGGGGTTGTAGAGTGAGTGAGGGAGATGGATGTAACGCCAGTATGAACGGTGTTTAGGGTAACATCATGACAAGCGAGTTTGTAGAGTGAGTGAGGCAGTTGGTTAACGCTTGTATGAGTCAGTGAGCTTGTAGAGTGAGTGAGAGAGAGATGGATTTAAGGCCAGTATGAACGGTGTTTAGGGTAACATCATGACAAGTGAGTTTGTAGAGTGAGTGAGAGAGATGGATGTAACGCCAGTATGAACGGTGTTTAGGGTAACATCATGACAAGAGAGGTTGTAGAGTGAGTAAGGGAGATGGATGTAACACCAGTATGAACAGTGTTTAGGGTAACATCATGACAAGTGAGGTTGTAGAGTGAGTGAGGGATATGGATGGGTTTAAAGCCAGTATGAACGGTGTTTAGGGTAACATCATGACAAGTGGGGTTGTAGAGTGAGTGAGGGAGATGGATGTAACGCCAGTATGAACGGTGTTTAGGGTAACATCATGACAAGCGAGTTTGTAGAGTGAGTGAGGCAGTTGGTTAACGCTTGTATGAGTCAGTGAGCTTGTAGAGTGAGTGAGAGAGATGGATTTAAGGCCAGTATGAACAGTGTTTAGGGTAACATCATGACAAGTGAGTTTGTAGAGTGAGTGAGAGAGATGGATGTAACGCCAGTATGAACGGTGTTTAGGGTAACATCATGACAAGAGAGAGGTTGTAGAGTGAGTAAGGGAGATGGATGTAACACCAGTATGAACAGTGTTTAGGGTAACATCATGACAAGTGAGGTTGTAGAGTGAGTGAGGGATATGGATGGGTTTAAAGCCAGTATGAACGGTGTTTAGGGTAACATCATGACAAGTGGGGTTGTAGAGTGAGTGAGAGAGATGGATGTAACGCCAGTATGAACGGTGTTTAGGGTAACATCATGACAAGCGAGTTTGTAGAGTGAGTGAGGCAGTTGGTTAACGCTTGTATGAGTCAGTGAGCTTGTAGAGTGAGTGAGAGAGATGGATTTAAGGCCAGTATGAACGGTGTTTAGGGTAACATCATGACAAGAGAGAGGTTGTAGAGTGAGTAAGGGAGATGGATGTAACACCAGTATGAACAGTGTTTAGGGTAACATCATGACAAGTGAGGTTGTAGAGTGAGTGAGGGATATGGATGGGTTTTAAAGCCAGTATGAACGGTGTTTAGGGTAACATCATGACAAGTGGGGTTGTAGAGTGAGTGAGGGAGATGGATGTAACGCCAGTATGAACGGTGTTTAGGGTAACATCATGACAAGCGAGTTTGTAGAGTGAGTGAGGCAGTTGGTTAACGCTTGTATGAGTCAGTGAGCTTGTAGAGTGAGTGAGAGAGATGGATTTAAAGGCCAGTATGAACGGTGTTTAGGGTAACATCATGACAAGTGAGTTTGTAGAGTGAGTGAGAGAGATGGATTTAAGGCCAGTATGAACGGTGTTTAGGGTAACATCATGACAAGAGAGGTTGTAGAGTGAGTAAAGGGAGATGGATGTAACACCAGTATGAACAGTGTTTAGGGTAACATCATGACAAGTGAGGTTGTAGAGTGAGTGAGGGATATGGATGGGTTTTAAAGCCAGTATGAACGGTGTTTAGGGTAACATCATGACAAGTGGGGGTTGTAGAGTGAGTGAGGGAGATGGATGTAACGCCAGTATGAACGGTGTTTAGGGTAACATCATGACAAGCGAGTTTGTAGAGTGAGTGAGGCAGTTGGTTAACGCTTGTATGAGTCAGTGAGCTTGTAGAGTGAGTGAGAGAGATGGATTTAAGGCCAGTATGAACGGTGTTTAGGGTAACATCATGACAAGTGAGTTTGTAGAGTGAGTGAGAGAGATGGATGTAACGCCAGTATGAACGGTGTTTAGGGTAACATCATGACAAGAGAGAGGTTGTAGAGTGAGTAAGGGAGATGGATGTAACACCAGTATGAACAGTGTTTAGGGTAACATCATGACAAGTGAGGTTGTAGAGTGAGTGAGGGATATGGATGGGTTTAAAGCCAGTATGAACGGTGTTTAGGGTAACATCATGACAAGTGGGGTTGTAGAGTGAGTGAGGGAGATGGATGTAACGCCAGTATGAACGGTGTTTAGGGTAACATCATGACAAGCGAGTTTGTAGCGTGAGTGAGGCAGTTGGTTAACGCTTGTATGAGTCAGTGAGCTTGTAGAGTGAGTGAGAGAGATGGATTTAAGGCCAGTATGAACAGTGTTTAGGGTAACATCATGACAAGTGAGTTTGTAGAGTGAGTGAGAGAGATGGATGTAACGCCAGTATGAACGGTGTTTAGGGTAACATCATGACAAGAGAGAGGTTGTAGAGTGAGTAAAGGGAGATGGATGTAACACCAGTATGAACAGTGTTTAGGGTAACATCATGACAAGTGAGGTTGTAGAGTGAGTGAGGGATATGGATGGGTTTAAAGCCAGTATGAACGGTGTTTAGGGTAACATCATGACAGGTGGGGTTGTAGAGTGAGTGAGAGAGATGGATGTAACGCCAGTATGAACGGTGTTTAGGGGTAACATCATGACAAGCGAGTTTGTAGAGTGAGTGAGGCAGTTGGTTAACGCTTGTATGAGTCAGTGAGCTTGTAGAGTGAGTAGAGAGAGATGGATTTAAGGCCAGTATGAACGGTGTTTAGGGTAACATCATGACAAGAGAGAGGTTGTAGAGTGAGTAAGGGAGATGGATGTAACACCAGTATGAACAGTGTTTAGGGTAACATCATGACAAGTGAGGTTGTAGAGTGAGTGAGGGATATGGATGGGTTTAAAGCCAGTATGAACGGTGTTTAGGGTAACATCATGACAAGTGGGGTTGTAGAGTGAGTGAGGGAGATGGATGTAACGCCAGTATGAACGGTGTTTAGGGTAACATCATGACAAGCGAGTTTGTAGAGTGAGTGAGGCAGTTGGTTAACGCTTGTATGAGTCAGTGAGCTTGTAGAGTGAGTGAGAGAGATGGATTTAAGGCCAGTATGAACGGTGTTTAGGGTAACATCATGACAAGTGAGTTTGTAGAGTGA